AATCGCAGTGCCATTTAACTGTAAAATTATGCAATTTTTGTTGATAGGCTTTCATTCTATTGGCAAGGCTTTAAAATTAAATTTTTTACTATTTTTTACCAGATGGTGCCATTTTTTCAGGTTTGACCTATAAAGAAAATACTCGCTTTATTTCTGTTTTCTGCTTCTGCATTTTATAGAGCCAACTGGATAAATAATGCAGCTATAATTGTGTGGGTGTGTTGGTATGGATGTCAGAGTGTGGTTTGTATGTGTGTCATAAAAAAAAAAAATTGGGTGTTCTTGTAATATTTGAGAGAGAAAAACTCTACTGCAAATCACAAATCCAACAAATGTGTGCACCAGCAGAGTTTCGCTGGCATTTAATGGGGAAAATTTGGTACTGCGCCCAAACAAAATCTTACTGAAAGCTCATTTTTTGAGATATCAACCTCAAATCTGGAATACAACTTTAGATTTATAGCTTTGATTTTCTAGCAGGTATAGAGTTCAACATGTTTCATAAATATATATATTTTATATAAAACATCGTTCATAAATCATTTTCATAAACCTAAACATCTAGAACTTTTTTTTTGGTTTCACTTTTTAAACTTTTTTTACTTCAACAATAATCTGCCATGGGTCTTCTTTAAAATGAGACCAAACTTAACTTCAAATTTTTATGACAGTTTTTTGACATGGACATTTTTGTCCACTATGGACCTATGTGTAACTTTTTTTAATTGACGCACAAGGGTTAAAGGTAGGGACGCTATTTTTTTTAAATGCTAAAATAGTTTTGGTTATTACACAATATGACCGTGGTAATTTGTGGCTACACCTCAAAGTACTGTGACAGTACGTCTATTATGTGTTACTGTAGTTAAAACGGATTAAAATGCAAATAATAATTTTAGGGGAAAAATTGGCTGAATGTGCTAGATAAAGTGGGCCATCTTGAACTTTCACTAATTCTACTCACATTAATTAAATAAACTCACATTCATTGATTATTTTATAATTGCAATGCATAATTGACTAGAAAAAAATGGGTCCAGTCAGGAAATTCAAGTCAGAGATGGAAGAAAGGGAAGAGACCAGAAAGGAAGGCAAGACATGACGCTGAATCTGGAGTGAAAAAAGGATGATAGGAGCAAAATAGATGCAGAGTATAAAGCTTTAACAGGTCACAATTAAAGTTGAAGAGACAGGAAAAAAAGTAGGGCTGCATGATAAATCGCATGCGATATTTAACGCGCATCTTGTCAGAAAGCCGGTTCTGTAATCAGCGGTAAATCTCCATCACATGCGTGCTTTCACACAGAGCCGTTGTTCACTGACGAGCTGCGCAAAAAATCGTGCTCAATGTGAAAGCACGCACGTGATGGAGATTTACCGCTGATTATAGAACCGGCTTTTCTGACAAGATGCGCGTTAAATATCGCATGCGATTTATCGTGCAGCCCTAAAAAAAAGTTTTACAATATTACATTTGTTCGTCTTATGTTTTTTTTTTTGTTAGCCTATTAGTTGTTGGACGTGTTGTAGTCACATCTTTAATATACTGTAAAGTTCATTTTAATCAAAATTATATTTAATCAAATTTAATGTCAGTTGTTAATTTATGCATGAATTGAGGGAACTTTTGAGGGAACAATTTTACTAGTCTAAGCTGAATACGTTTGTTTGATAATGTTAATAAACATTTTTTTTTAAAGTAGTGGTGTCAAACGATTAATCGCATCCAAAATAAAAGTTTTTGTTTACATAATATATACTATATATTATATATATATGTTATATGTTTATATAATATATATAATGTATACTGTGTATATTTATTATGTATATATAAATACAAACACATGCATGTATACATTTAAGAAAAATATGTTATATTTATATATTAAATATATTTATATATAATATAAAATGAGAAGACATTAGCCTGGAGTCCATCTCAAAATGTTTATTGGCATATACCTTTTCAATAACAGATCATATGAACTGAATTTAAATAAAAATATTACAGCTGGACCTTAAGATTAACAAAGGTAATAAAAGAAATTACAAGCAGGCCACTTTATCTCAATTCACCCTATATATACACAGCTAGATAGATAGATAGATAGATAGATAGATAGATAGATAAACACATACAGTGGGGGTCAAAGGTTTGGAATGGTATTTAAATAAATAAATAAATAAATAAATGTATTTTAAATTTGTTTTGTAATAGTTTTTAAAATGTAATTAATTTCAGTGATGGTAAACTGAATGGAAACTCCAGTCTTCAGTGTCACATGATCCTTCAGAAATCATTCTAATATGATTAGATTTTGCTGATTTGCTGTTCAAGAAACATTTCTTCTTATAATAATTTAATAATAATTTAAATAAAGCTTTGCCATCATATCAATGTATAGAAATGTAATACGTAAATAAATACATTTCTATAAAGATATAGACTTTTTTTCTATTAAAAAAAACTTTTCTAGAATAACTTTCAGCTGTAAATCAATCACTGATCCAACTGTCACACTAAGTTTGGTCTCAATGTTAAACGTTACCATTATTAACTCCAAAAATCATACAATATTGTCAATACAGCAATAAAACAGAGTCTTCTTGACATAGCAATAAATAGTCCCATAAGGGCCCCCATCAAGGTACACTAGTGTCCTCATTCATTCAAAGGTCTACTCACCTTCTTTGGATCATCATAAAAGATCCCTATGCATGGCAGCTTGGGTCCAATGCTGCAGCTCTCTCTGAACAGCGACCCACAGTCTTTATAAGGTCCCACTTTGTATTTATAGGCTATAGTGATGCTCCTGACCGGGGGTAAACCAGTCCTGATGTGGATTTCAGTGGTCAGTCCAGAGTACAAAATATAACATACAGCTACGAGAAAAAGAACTAGAGAGATGGAGCCTATGAGACTCAAAATCTGCCATTCCCACATGTCAGCTGAATGCTGTATGGTGAGGTGAAAGTGCAAAAGAATAACCGAGAGCTGCTCTTATCGAGGATAACAGTCTCTCTGGTCCATTCATTCAAAAATCATCCGCTTTTACTGAGCGACTGCATTAGTTAAAGAAGAAATTGACTCAGATTAGAGGATTTTTTATAATAAAAATCAGAACTTAGTTGCGGATGTAGCGCAGTCACTCAGAAGCGCAGATTCACTTCCCTAGTAAACACACAACAGGTCGCGCTCGAGCTTCCTGGACGGAACCATTCGCTTGTTATAGGGGTGGGAGGTATTTACTAAAAAAGTGAACGACTGTTTTGTTTCTTTTCTAAACGCTAACAATTCACTGTCACTGATACTTGTCATTTATAGTTTAATACAGAACATTTTTCGAAACGGTTCAAGTTTCGTCATGTATGTATGCTGAGGGGTTGCTTGTATTTGGTTCGGACTGGCTTTATGCAACAATTTAAAAAGCTAAGCTGCGTACAGAACACGGCAAAATAAGACAGCCGAAACATTTTCACAAACTCACTATATATACACATACATACATACATACATTTATTTATTTTTTATTTTTTCAGGAGGGCTTACATTTTTTTTCAGTTTGTATGAATATATTTACCCGACAATAAAAAAAAAAGTTGACAACATTTGAAAAAAAAGAGAATTTAAATCACACTTAAAAAGAAGATATCTTGCAAAACAGATGGAGGAATTGTTTCCATTGTACCGATTTTTTGACTCATGGGACGAAAAGTAAGCTACTTTAATATGGAGTTACTTTAATAGCCTAATACCCTTACGAAAATGTAACCATGGTTTTATTATAGTAAAAGTGTAGCAACCTTTTTTTTTAGCATAGTTTTATACAAATACCATGGTTAAACTGTGGTTGGTGTAGCAAACCCATGGCTACTTTGTGTTTACCTGGGTTTAAATACAAAAACCATGTTTTTTGTTTGTTTTATCTGTAGTAAAACCCATAGACATGATTATGTCTATGGTAAAACCATGGTTATAAACGGATAGTCCCGGTCCTTGATTCTGATTGGTTGAGCCAAGTTCGGAGCTGTTGCAAATTACTCTACAAGCATATGCTGCGTCCCAATTCGCCTACTTATACTATGCCCTAAAAGTATGTACTCTTTTTGTGAAGAAAAAGTACACACTTTTGAGTATGTGGAAGAATAGCAGGCAAGCTTTGGGACATACTACTTCGTCATAACTGTGTCTTTAACGGATGTTCTATTGCAGGGGTGGGGAACTCCAGTCCGGGGGCG